CTAAAATATGCAAAGACAAATCTAATGTCTAGTTTGTCCATCACATAAGGTAAAAGGTTATCCCCATGCAGATGAATGAAAGCCTCTTGGGTATCATATATTTAGGGAAGTTTTAGATAAACACAACTGTAAATGCCATATGCATAGTCTTGCAATTCAAATTAGATCAAGGATTGAAGCTGAAACAGACTTCTATATGCTAAATCATCTTCTTGTTGAAAATGCTCACTGCTACAATTTCAACAGCTAGCGTGTAGCAGGAACTTAATATATATTTGTTGGACGAATGGATGTAAGAGTTCTTATCTTACTCATCACTTTACAGCTCACACTCTTTAACCAGCCTTGCCAGGTGATCTATTATTTCTCAATCTTCAGGATTTAGGTGTCACCTCTGTACTTTAACTGTATTCTGTGAGGTGCTCCCACTACCACTATTGGATAGTCACCTCTCTATACTCAGCACCAAGCAGAGTGCCTGGAATATGGCAGCTGTTGGACATAGGAATCAAAGAATGAGTGGATAGGTGGACAATGAACTGATACATGATAAATGAATGGAAAAGGACTGCTGAGATGATAATTTGTAATAATTTCTCTGCTAAATGATTACATAGTAATTCCCAACCTGAGCTCACCTGAGCACTAAGGGAATGGAATGGTAGCAGTGGGGTCCTTGAGCTGTTTCCAAAATGCTTATCAAAAGTCATATCCTCACCTAAGTGGAATAGGTACAATTCGAGGCACCAGAGTCTCCTAAGCTTAAAGAAGATGCCTGTGGCTTATAACTTGGCCCACTGCATGATTCTATTCTTTGTAGAAATCAAATGCTTTTTTTATTTTCATGAATAATGCTGCTATGAACATTTGGGTACAAGTTTTTGCATGGAATATGTTATCATTTCTCTTGGGTGTATAGCTTGTAGTGGGATTGCTGGGTCATATGGTAACTATATATTTAACTCTTTGAGGAATTGTTTTCCAAAGCAGTTGCACCATTTTACATTCCCACCAGCTGGGTGTGAGGGGTCCAATTTCTCCATATTCTTACCAACACTGGTTATTATATTTTTTGATTATCGCCATCCTAGTGAATGTGAAGTTTTCTCGTTGTGGCTCCAATTTGAAACACCCTAATGATTAATGATGTTAACCACATTTTCATGTGCTTATTGGTCATTTGTATGGCTGCTTTAGGGAAATGTCTATTCACATGCTTTGCCCATTTTTATTTTTATTTTATTTTTATTTTTTCTATTTTTTTTTTTAAGATTTTATTGGGGAATCGGGGAAGGGGAACAAAAAGTTGCTGTCCTTTTGTTCTTCAGTCTATTTGTGGAGGACGTCGCTTCACTGGCCCATGTTAGTATTATCATTGTGGTCTTTCTGGGTAAGGCAGTTGCTCGCCGGCCATTGGATGGCCACTCACGGCAGCTCACACCTGCTGCCGGCCAGCCCCACTGCAGCCTATGCCGTCACTGATGACTCACAGCAGCCCAGCTCCAGGTGGAGCTGTTGTTCACCATCTTAGCTGTAGAGGGCAGCATCACTGGCCCTCATATGTGGAATCTGAATCCAAAGCCAACTCCTAATCAATGCACCACTCAGCTGACCCACTTTGCCCATTTTTAAATTGGTTTATCTTTTAATTGTTGAGTTGTAATTGTTCTTTATATATTCTGGACATGAGTCCCGCATCACACATATGATACTACATTATTTTCTCTCACTCTGTGGGTTGTTTTTTCATTTTTTTGTGATGTTCTTTCAAGTACAATAGTTTTTAGCTTTTATGAAGGCCAATTTAACTTTTTTTCTTTTGTTACTTGGCTTTTGGTGTCATAGCTAAGAAAGCATTGTCTTATCCTACGTCATGAAAATGTATCCCTAAGTTTTAATAGAGTTTTATTAATTTTTTCTCTCTCTTTAAAAAAAAAAGATTTTATTGGGGAATTTGGGGATGGGAACAGCGCTGGGGAATCGGGGAAAGGGAACAGACAAGTTGTCCTTTATTTCTTCAGTCTAATTGTGGAGGACGTTGCTTCACTGGCCCATGTTGGCACCATCATTGCGCTCTTCCCGGATGAGGCAGATCAGTTGCTGGCCTCTGGACGGCCACCCACAGCGGCTCTTGGCAGCTCACAGTGGCTGCAGGCCGCTCACGGTAGCTTATGGCAGCCCACTGCAGCAGGGGCTGCAGCTTACGCCAATGCCGGTGACTCATGGCAGCCCAGCTCCAGGTCGAGCTGCTGCTCACCATCTTAGCTATAGAGGGCAGTGTCGGCCGGCTGAGTGGCTCAGTTGGTTAAGAGCTCTCTCAAGAGTTTGAGATCTGAGCAACAGCAGTTCGAGTCCAGCCCGAGCTGAGCAGCCACTGAGCTGCCAATAGGTAGCAGGATGGCTCAGCTAAAAACAAACAAACAAACAAACAAAAAACCCCAATATAGAGGGCAGTGTCACTGGCCCTCATGTGGGATCCAAACCGGGGCCCTGCTGCTCAGAGCTGGCATCCCAAGCCAGCTCCCAACCAACGCGCCACTCGGCCAGCCCTATAACTTTTATCTCTTAAAATTAGTTCTGTGATCCATTTTGAGTTGAGTTCTATATGTGGTTCGAGATAGGAGTCCAACTTCATTCTTTCGAAAGTGAATATCCAATAAGTCCAGCATCCAGCATGCCAAACTCATGTTTGACAAAGGTGCAAAAGCAATTCAATAGGGGGACAATGGACTTTTCAGCAAATGACAATTGGTTATCCATAGGCAGAAAACAAAGAAACAAACAAAAAACCTCAATACAAACCTCATACCCTATGCAAAAATTAACTCAACATGGATCATAGAACTGAATGCAAATCTTAGAACTACAGAATTTATACAGGAAAACATAAGAGAAAATCTTCATGACTTTGGGTTATGTTAAGAGGTCTCAGATATAATACCAAAAGCACGACCCATTAAACATTTGATAAGTTTGACTTCATCGAAATTACCGTATTTCCCCATGTATAAGATGCTCCCATGTATAAAACACACCTTAATTTTGGGGCCCAAAATTTGAAAAAAAAA